GTCAAATGCTAGGGACTTAGATATTGGTTGTGAGGCTTTTGTGAGCTATTTCGCAGACAAAGTCTTGTCGCTTTGCCGTGACCTCCCCGCCACATTTGAAACAGTGAGTGAACTCAAGGCCCCTTGCACGTCTTTTGGCCAGATCATGGATCAAATAGACGGCTGTGGCAATGCAGCTTCAGAGCTTTTTGAATGACGCTTCCGTTTTAGATCCCTTCCAGTCCGGCTTCCGCCCGGGGCACGGGACGGAGACGGCGCTGGTCGCCCTCACAGATGATCTCCGGAGGCATCTGGACCCAGGTGGATCGGCAGTGCTGTTGTTGTTGGACCTGTCAGCTGTGTTCAACAAGGTCGACCATCAGCTACTAGCCCACCACCTCGCCGACATTGGAATTCAGGGGCTTGCCTTGCAACGACTCGTCTCCTTTCTCCAGGGCCAAGGACAAAGAGTGGCACTGGGGAAACAGGTTTCCCGAAGGCACCCACTTGATTGTGGAGTGCCTCAGAGGGCTGTGCTGTCCCCAATGTTATTTAACATCTATATGCGCCCCCTTGCCCAGATTTGCACAGAGACATGGGCTGGGATATCACCAGTACGCTGATGACACTCAGCTCTATCTGCTGTTGGGTGGCCAGTCTGACTCCAGACCGGAAGATCTTGACCGGGCGTTGGAAGACATGGCATGTTGGCTCAGGCTGAGCCAACTGAAATTAGATCCATCGAAGACAGAGGACCTGTGCCTGTGTCGGGACAGATCAGGGATAGGGATCCCACTCCCGACCTTTGATGGGGTGCCACTAGTGCCAGCGCCGGAGGTTAGGAGTCTGTGAGTGCTCCTGGATCCCTCTTTAACAATGGAGGCCCAGGTAGCAGCCACTGCTCAGTCAGCCTTTTATCATCTTCGGCTGATTAGGCAGTTGGTTCCTTCCTTGAATGCAATGACCTGGCAACAGTAATCCACACTATGGTCACCTTGAGACTAGACTACTGCAATGCTCTCTACATGGGACTGCCCTTGTCCCAAATCTGGAAGCTGCAGCTGGTGCAAAACATGGCAGCCAGGCTCTATACGAGAGCACATCCGGCCTGTGCTGAAGGCATTGCACTGGCTGCCAATAGCATACCGGATTTGCTTCAAGGTGCTGTTTTTGACCTTTAAAGCCCTCTATGGTCAGGGGCCTGTCTACCTGAGGGCCTGCCTTTCCCTGCATGTTCCCCAGAAAGCCTTGAGGTCTGGGTCGCAAAACCATCTGGGGAGGGGGGGTTGGGGGGTGCCGCCGCCCTTTCAAGAGCCAGCACCCCCTTTGGCAGACACCTTTTGGCAGTGCCAGATTTAAGTGATGCCGCAAACTGGCATTCATGCTGCTGGTGCGCGCACAGGTTTTCTTCATTTGGGCTTCCGGGAAATAGCAATCAAAAGAGATTGGCAATAAGGGGGGGGGGGGAAGGTAAAGATGCCCGGCCCGGCCC